ACAAATCGTTTCCAAACCTAGAATGCCACAAGGTAAGGCTTCGCCACGATTTGCACCCAAAGTAATATTTTTGGGTCCAAGTGATAAGAGGCTCAGGAATGACTCATAAGTTCATTCAACTCGCCCGGGCCCATTCCAGCACCAAAGAAAGCAACAGGCACAGGGCCAAACTGTTGGCTCTGCGAGGCAGCTTAGTCTGGAGGTTCTGGAGGGAGGCACTGGGTGTGTGGCCACAGCCCTCTCCCAACTGTCCACCCTCCCCTGACGCCAGGACCCCCTCTTCCTGGCCACGCCCTCTGATGCCCACTTCCAGTTTCTGCTCCCCACCCTGGAGGCCCCCAGCCCTCCTCTGCCGGACTTGACCAGAGCCTCGAAGCTGGGGAAAGGGTCCCCTAGGCCCTTGAGAAGCCTTTTCTGACCTCTCTGTCTGCATCTGGTCCTTTCTTCCCTGGCACGTCCCTCTGGTCCTTATAGTCAAGAGGTAGTGGGGCGCCTGGTGGCTCAGTCGGCTAAGCGTCCAATTTCAGCTCAGGTCGTGGTCTCATGGTTCAGGAGTTCGAGCCCCGTGTCGGGCTCTGTGCTGACAGCTAGCTCAGAGCCTGGAGCCTGTCTTCCGATTCTGTATCTTCCTCTCTCTCTGACCCTCCCTTGCTCATGCTGTCTCCCTCTATCTCAGAAATAAATAAAACATTAAAAAAAATAAAAAAAAAAAAGAGGTAGTATAGCCCTCTCCTCTCCCACCCACGCACACTGAGGGTGGGCTGCCCAGCTCTCATCCATCCAGCCCAGCACCTCATGCTGGTGACGGCAGAGTTCAGAGATGTCATGCAGGGACCCTTGTCCGACACGAGTCCAGTTCAGGGGCTGTCTTTGCCCCCGGGTTAAAGCAGGGAAGCTATAACTACCCAAAAGGCTTTGCAGCTTCCCCATGCCCTGTTGCCCAAACAAACACACACAGACAAAATGCTGCTCACTTAAGAAGGTCTCTGCCGGTTACAGTCATCTCAAATCTACAGGACAAGTAATCTTATTAAAAAAAACAAACTACTGACATTGCTGGATGAACATAATGCATCTTTCATGAGCTCTGAAAACTCTGCCTTCCATATCCACTCACATACAAGGTTCTTTTTCACTACCTCCTTCATGCCTTCACTTTAAAATGATGCTATCTGCCTTTATCTTGATTAATTTTAAGCTTCTGTTTACTAAAGAAAAATGACTCATTCAAAGTGAAAAAAAAGGGAGGGGCTTTTTGAAATATTTTTTTCCTCAGTCTCTAGCAACTTTTTGTTGTTGTTTTTTAGCGAAAAATGGAGTTTTCCATTGTTTTTGTTTTTGTTTTTGTTTTTTTTAAACAGGAAAGAATTATTTTGCTTGGGCCAAAAGGTGGCTATGGATGTTCAGTGCTTCACAATCTCTCAAGCTTTTGATTTTAGCCACAATCCTTAGGTCTTAAAAGAGAAAAACAGTAGCAACCATTTGTGGGGGTACCTTTCCTCTGCCAGACCTCACGCCAGATGGGATGGATGCCCTACGTTTATCAGCTTCAGCCTCACATTTATCATGTGTCCCACTTAGCAGATGAAAAAACTGAGGCTCGGAAGTTTAAGGGACTCGCGTGAAGCTGGTCAGTTCGAGGAGCTTCCTGTCGACCTCAGGTCTGTTTTCTAAACCCGTGCTTGGCTCTGCACAGCCAGGGAAACATCTGTGTCTGCAGGGAGCGACGAGGGGCCGGATCTGGATGCGAGCCAGGAAGGAAGGGGGGACAGAACAGAGCGGGCACCCTCCTCACCACCCCCAACCCAGACGGTGCCAGGCCTGAGGCTGCTTTCCTAACAGAACCTCCTTCCTGCTGTGGGGGCAGAACCTGGGAGACAGTGCAGTTCGTGGTACCGGCTGTGGCAGAGGATAAACCAGGGAGGGGGAGTGCGTTCCGAGGCAGGAAGGTGGCCCAAAAACTCTGTGAGAAGGCATTCATAAAATATGAAAAATAGGCCCAATAAATCCCACTTGTGGTGCAGACAACACAAAAGCTCTGTTGGTGAGATTCTCCAAGAGCATCTCAAAACTGCACTACACCCTCTGTGGGAAATAATTACTCTAATATCTTGCTAAGGGAATTACAGCATCTTCCTAAGAACAGAAAAATGACAATCTAGTCATCACCTGATGAGATAAAAACCACATTCTGTCTGGACGAAGCCTGAGCCCACCTGTGGGCATGAACCCTTGGGTCACGGAACCCACTGAATATGACAAAGACAGCTATGATCTCCCTGCCCTCAAGGGAACAGGTCCCTAAAGGGATGGGTTCGGGACACCTGGGTGGCTCAGTCGGTTAATCGTCGGACTTTGGCTCAGGTCATGATCTCACAGTTTGTGAGTTCAAGCGCCACATCAGGCTCTGTGCTGACAGCTCAGAGCCTGAAGCCTGTTTCTGATTCTGTGACTCCCTCTCTCTCTGTGGCTCTCTCCCCTGCTCGGGTGCTCTCTATCTCTCTAAAAAATAAATGAACACTTAAAAAAAAAAAAAGGGACGTGTTCAAGTAAGTTTATACAGATTAGAAGGTCTAGAATGCGGGAAGCGCCCGGGGCGTCCCAGTTCATTCAGAAGATGTTTCCTGAGCAACTACTATATGCCAGGTAGTGAACAAAATGAACAATAGTACAGAGCTCTCCTACATGGCGATACATTAAGAGAAATAAACAACATGTGTAGGCGGCTACATAGAGCCGCTAAACAGAAAAACAAAACGTGTATTTAGCAAGGTGGAAATTACTGCCGACTTCAGTAGAGCAGAGCTTGGCAAAGTGTCTGGCGGGGGGTGTAGGAGGGAATGGAAGACAGAAGGGAGACACGGAGGGCTGGCAACTTGTTCCAGGAGGTGACAGCCAGAGGGTCAGCAGGGTCAAGTGAGGGGTTTTTCTCTTTAAGGCAATAGAAATCACAGCACATGTGTATGTAACAGGAACGATATGGTGGAGAGAGAGACATGTGCACGATGCAGGGGAGAGAGAGACTTGACACAAAAGTACTGCAAACAGGGAGATAAACACAAGAAGCATGAACTTTAATACAGGTGGGGAGTCATGGCTTAGAGGTGTCAGAAGGTTGCATGGGACGTCTCTAAGTAGCCTGTGACACTGGAGGAGACCTTCCTGAATGAAAAGGAATGGTGGGGGAGGGGGGGCGGGAGTGCTGCTGTGGGTCAAGGTGGTATGATACGAATCCCCTCCTCGGAGCCCGTGGGTGGGCACGGGGCAGAGACTGCGTGGCCGGCGCTGAAAGGTAGACAGAACACCGGTGATGTCGCCGTGGGAAGGTTCTGGACCCCAGGGATTGAGCAGCTACCTCCTAGCACAGATTATAAACCACCACGGAAGCAAAACCTAAAAGTGGGACAGGAAGCAATAGCTCTCCATTTGCTGCTTGTTCGGCCAAAAGCAAAACATCTGATGAATTACAAGTTTATGTCCTATGAGACAGAGGAAGAGCCTATAGCTTCCGTGAATTTAAAGTGTACCAATGGGAAATCAGAGACCCCAGGGAGAAAGAGCTCGGAATACACAGTGTATATAATACCTAAGGCAGGGAAGTCGATCATTCGACAAATACCGAGCGCCTACCGCGCACCAGCTGCTGTTCCGGGTGCTGGAGATAATGTCATCAGTGTGGCGTTCACAACATTCCAGCAAGCAGACGGCACACTTCAGAGCAAAGGTGGGGAGATGTGATGGCTAGGTTCTAGGAAGAATAGCACGGCCGCAGAGCCAAAGACCAAAAGGGAGAGAAGACGAACTCAAAACCATTCCAATGGTGAGACGCGGGAAAGGCATCTGAGAGAAACAGATGACAGAGGACCAAATAGGGTGAGTAAACAACGAGGAAAGAAAGGGCCCGGAGCAGGCGTGTGTGATCCTGGGGGACAGAGTCCACAACAGGGGGCGCATGTGGCTCAAGAAGGTTCTGGGGTTCCCACCCTGGCTCCGCCCTTTACTACCACGTGGCTTCCCGTCTCCCTGGCCTTCCTGTCCCTTACGCGTGCCATGCGGATGAGGCTAGGACCTACTACGGTGCAGGGGGCAAGACACGTTAGCCACCGTTCTCTTCAATGGGCTGGAGAAACAGCATGAGATGAACGTCAGAGACTGCAGAAGCAATCAACTTGCAGACTGGTTGAAGGAAGCAGCTCTGAACCATTACAACCATCCCGAGCGGGAATTAACTCCTTTGTAAGAAGAGCCACTTTCTTCTCCTAGGAAGCGTGTGTATCATCCGCCCAGGAAATTTTAGAGGGGATTCCTGCAACGGGCGGGAGAGCACGGTGGGTGAATATCAAGTGCCTTTCCAGGAAGTCTGTTTCTCTGAAACGTCTCTCATTGCCTAGATTTCATTCACGGTGCTCAGAGCAAGAGGCAGGAACGTGAGGACTCACAAGACATTCTGTCCTCAGAACGTGAAGTCAGCAGAAACTTCTGCAGATACACTGTCCTAAGTTACTGAGCACTGCAAGAGTAACCGAATAGGGGGTATTAGGAGCGTGCAAGAATACTTCTAACCAGCTGTTGAAGTCGTCTGAGAAACAGTGAAGAAGGGGATGGTCTGAGTGAAGAGGGACGGCTGAGCGAGCGGGGAGAGAAGAGGGAGCAGCGCATCTTGTCAACCATGACCACAGGGCTGAGCTGTGCCTTGGGGGCCGACACCCTTTCTTCCCACGCCATTCTAGTAGGCTCCCGATCGGCACCCTGGTTGATTTCCTACATCCTTTATGACCCTGAAATTCTTCTTGCACAGCACGTTTCCTGGTACAGACTGTGTGGGGTCCTTTAAGCAGTGCACAGCCTCTGAAACTGCCCCATGAGTTCATGGGCTGACCAAGGAAGTTGCCACGTGGGAGCCATTTACTGGGCTAAGGAATGATGACAGGTGGTTGATACCTGAAGGTCAGAGGCAGCTTCTAATGCGATCAAGAGTGGGGTGGTTAAAAATGACACACCTGGCTAGCAGCAGCATCACATTTGCGTCTGACGCGTCAGCTTGTGAGATCGTGTCCTCCCAAATGCTTTAGGAAAACATTCATCCACGACCTGGGTTTAGAAAGGGAGTCATTACATCCTGCAACAGATGGGCCACGAGCTCTGAACTGAGAGACCTCACCAGGAGCCACTGGATAAAGTGCCTACATCTCCAAAATGAATGTTTTGATTCATGTAATTTCCCCCTCCATTAGCTTAGAGGGAATCTAACTCCTTTGTGATATTCTTTTCTCTGTATCGATTTCTAGAAGGAAAGCATTGGATTTTTCTTTTTTGTTTAATAGCTTTAAAGATAGATGGAGGCTTTTAAATGTTCACCTATTTTACTTACCAAGGCTCTCTCGATCTCTCCAATTACTGTTTCTGGAACCCAAGGAGGTTAGAGCCTTCTGTGTTTACAAGTATGTCTAGAAAAATATTTCAGTAAATGAAACATATACATATATAGGCAAAATGACTCCTTTTATCAAGCTACGGTTGACCATTAAATTGAAATTTATCTTAGGGAGAAACAGGAAAAAAGAAGTTGTGTAAAAAAAGCTACTGTCTATCTCAGAAAAAAAACATCTCAGTAACCCATTTCTAGTCTTTGGACGAAGAACTACTCAATGTTCAACTTCTCCCTTTTCAATGTCAGCTTTTTCAAATATTATGTTAAATACTATAAAGTGGCCTTAAAGTGGCCTACTTCCTGACACCTATGAAAAGTAACGTGTCATTCCAGAATCCAGTTCTCCCATGGGTGGGACAAATTACATCACTGCTATAGTTATTCTTCTCTGACAGATGGGCAAGCCTCTCTTAGATGAACCCACTCGCCCACCCCCCCCCACTTTCAGATGAACCCCTTTCCCCCACAACACCAAAAAAAGTTACTCTATAAAGTATCTATTAAATGTTGCCTTACAGCTGGACAATTTAATATAATCTTTGGGTCCAATTCTCTAGCCAGAACTGGAAGGTTATGGTCCACTGGGAATATTCAAAATATGGCCTTGCCGGGAACTAGGCAGCAAAATGACATAAGGGTTACAGTGATTTTCAGAAAGTAGGATTCGCGGAGGAAGAAGTTGGTGTGAGTCCCTTGCTGGAAGCGAGGAAGAGAGCAGGCCCCCTGAATGCAGGGCGGACTCTGGACTCAAGCTAGTCTATGTTTCAATCCTGCTTCCCGATGCTCTAGTCCTGTGACCTTGGGCAAGTAAGTCCAACCCCCTTCACGTGCTTCGACTTTTCCACCTATTAAATGGCGACAACACCACCTTCCTCCCAGGGTGGCTGTGAATTTGAGATGACATGAAGGATGGAAGGCGCTCAGCCTGGGGCCAGGCATATGGGGGTATGGGCTCAAATTTTACAGTAACGGTGCTATTTCTAACAGAAAGTACTAAAAGCACTTGGTGGCGCTGGCCAATCATTTCCTTGGTCAAGCCATCATTTTCAAAACACATGGAAATTCTAGATGTTCTTGTTAAAACAAATGTAGGAAAATGAAAACTATCAACAACAACAACAAAATCTTTCTGGGATTCTAAGAGGCATTGAATTAAACCTGCTTAGCAATTTGAGGACAATTGGTACCTTTACTAGACTTGAGTCTTCCAGTTTATTAACATGATATGTCACTTCGATTATTTAGATCTTCCCAGATTTCTTTGTCAGCATTTTATCGTTTTCAGCGTATAAGTCCTATACATATTTTGTTAGATTTATCTTTAACCATTTCATTTTTTTTTTAGCCATTGTAAACACTAGTGTATTTTTCATTTCAGTTTCCATGTGCTCATTACTAGTATACAGAAATATAGTTGACGCCTGTGTGTTGATCATGTACCCTGAAACCTTGCTGAATCTGTTTCTTAATTCTAGTTTGGTCGTCGTCATCTTCTTCTTCTTTTTTTTTAATTTTTGGTAGACCTCTTGGTGTTTCCCAAGTAGACAATCATGTTAGACAATATAGACGACAAAGAAGAGGGCAGTAGAAGCAAGTAGACGAAATGAAACTCAGTGAAAGGCATGAAGAGTATCAGGCAAAACTTCCAATCAATTATATACAAACACACAGAAGATTCTTTTAAAATTTACATGGAAATGAGGGGCCTTTGGGTGGCTCGGTTAAGCATCCGACTCTTCATCTTGGCTCAGGCCATGATCTCCTGGTGTGTGAGTTTGAGCCCCGTGCTGGGCTCTGTGCTGACAGCGCCTGCTTGGGATTCTGTCTCTCCTTCTCTCTGTCCCTCCCTCTCTCTCAAAAGTAATAAACTAAACTAAAAAAATTTATATGGAAAGGCAAATGTACCCTAATAGCTAATTTCATACATTCATAGTGTTCTTTGAAATTGTTTCTCAAAAAGTGTTTTCAAGGAAAAATTTCATATATAATTCAAATGGAACAATTACAGATTTCAATGATTTCCTACTCCAGACTGAAGTGCTTTCAACTTATTTTAACAAGAAATTTAAAAAAAATTAGCATCAAAGAAAGAGGATTTGGGGCAGAGCTGAGTTCACAGTCTACGAAACTTAAAAGGAATGAATCACTTTTTTCTTCTTAGATTCCCCAGTTTCTATGTAACTGACTTAGAAGGGCAAGATTCAGTGATTTCACATTTGGCATTTCCTACGTGTTCTCCATTCATTCTATATTTTATGTGACCATTCTATCACAGATGGGGGTAAAGCCAGTGGCAAAGTTTTACAAACACGTGCTTTGCGAATTTTAGTTCTGTTTAAGTATGGAATTGGTGATTTAAAAAAAAAAAAAAAGGCGATTCTCCTACCCTCTGGCACATCTTAAGATGCACCGGGCAAGTTTAAGGTGTTTCCTCCGCCTTGCCTTTGCCTGCCTTTACACACGTCGCTAGGGTGCAGCCTATGATGGCATTTCTGGGACTGTAAGGCTCCAAACAAAGATAATGAAAAAGGTTAGGGGTGCGGGGTAACGTGGAATCCCAATCTTTACATACAGTGAGTCTAGCAGATCTGTTTGGCTCTGGGGAATGAAACGCTTTTGGTGGACAGTGCGACCCAAGAACGGATCTGAGCAATGGTCCACTGTGCTTGGTGCAGGCAAGCTGAGGGTCTCACAGCAGATTCTGCCATGAGAAGGGCGTTAAGAATCTCATCTGGTCCAATTCACCTACTGAAGGTTCTGCCGATATACACAGAGTAGAGACCAAGCCTAGTTATTACACAGGGTGGCCAAGAAGATGTTGCTTGGGAACCCCGTCTCCCTTTTTTGAGCCGAATGCTTCCGTTACAATCTTCTCTAGATTGACGCTCTTGTTAAATAGCCAGGGATCCTCTCCCCAGAATAAGAAGTTAAAACAGGCAAGAGATAAAGCAAGGCAGATCAGCAGAGATGTAAAGGAGCGTATCGGATTAAAAAGAACTGTGTCCTATATGGATATCATATCCTCCTCATTTGTACAGAATCAGAAGAACACATCTTCTATATAAATAGCATAGAATTGAATCCCTGTCACAAGCACTATTAATTAACTCAGAACTCTGCTTTTACACTGTCTTCCCGAGTACATCTGCAGAGCAAGAAACTGTGTCTCACAGGCTACAATCAGGACAGCTCTGCAAACAAGTCTGGCATGGCTGACAAATCCGTTTCAACTGATCCTTATAAAGCATAAGTCATGTTAATTAAATAACTTATAATTAGTATCGGTGCATAAATTCTTCACCGTATCATGCTGATGTGTTACAGGATTTTGCATTTTCCGAACACTGTTTTCTAAACACGGGCGCATTATATGGAGAATATAGTTAGGGCAGTTGCTATAATTAGAATAATGTAAAATACATATAGAGAAAGTGGCGGGGGGGAATCCTCAAAGTTACTTCTGGTTCAAAATGGTAGCGTGATTTCTTTTATCTCCTTTCAGTCCCCAAATCTTGTTAAAATGTGAGTAAAAGAATAGAAATGGCCAAAAAAGGGCAACAGAGACACAAAGCAGAGGAATGAATAGTAGCTAACCTAATAGGACAGTGGAAATTACATCGAAGTGTGTGCTGGAACATCGCAGTGACCAGCGAGTGGATGCTCTTAGCGACAACCCTCCCCCCCCCCCCCCCCCCCCCCCCCCCGCCTCCAAAGAGGCAGGACCCTGGCACAGGACAGGCCCGGGGGGGGGGAGGGGGCGGCTAAAAAGCAAGCTGAAAGCATGGAGCCTGTAAAACTCCGAGCACAGTACTGGGGGCCCAGGGACTCCCACCGTGACACAGCATGAAGGCAAGTGCCCCTGCTCCCCTTCCCACCTTTGCCATCACCTGCGGGACTCCTGGTGGGCAGCACTGCGCCTAAACCAGGACTGAATTACAGTGAAGGTGCAGGGCGGGGGGGTGTGTGTGGAGAGGGGTCTTTGTCTCACTTCCTCTGCCGAACTCTCAATGCCAGCAGGACATAAGATGCTTCCTGGGAAGGAATTTTTTCCCTCAGAAGAAACTGATCAGATCGGGTAAGGGTGTGTGTGTGTGTGCGTGTGCGCGCGCGCGTGCACACGCACACACACGCATTCTGGGGCAGAAGGAACAGGGCACCTCCTGAAGTTTAGGGGTCCCAATTTGGAGAAAGGTGGTTCAGCAGAGGGTTTTGTACAGTCCATTTCACCGTCCACAGCTTTTACCTTCTCACACGGAGATCCTGATCTGATTCTCCGTAACTCCCTTTTAAGTGGTAATGGGGAGCCAAGCTCTCACATGAAAGCCAGAGACCAGAATAATCAAACAGAGAAAAGAAAACCTGGAGAAAAACAAGATATTCAAAGGACATTTGAAGAAAACTTCAAAAGGCTGAGGAAATCATCTAGAGAACTAAGCAAAGCTACTGGAGCCCTAAAATAAAAACCAAAGACTCCTTAAAAAAAAAAAAAAGAAAAAAGAAGAGTTGTTAGATAAATATTTAATTGAAATAAAGATTCCAGAGGAGAATGTGAAGGAACATAAAGGAACTTTCCCAGAAGGAGGAGCAAAAAATGAACAGACAACAAAGTTAGGAAACTGTTAATTAAAAAACGTGATAAAAAGGAGAGGCTCCATCCCGA